GACAGGTTAACTAGAACCAGTGTTTTAACAGGAGTGTACTAAAGCTAAATTTCTACTTGGACAACCAATACTCTCTGAGAATTGTTTTGAGAAAATATCAGAACACTGCGAGATATTTCTTTTTGTGTGAGAAGCAAAAAGGCATAAATAGTAAGCAAGAAAACCTCTTTCAGTGAATGCAGCTAATTCAGGGAGGAAGGGAATAAAGCATCAATCAAAGCATATCAACGAGCCCTGTGGCGTAGTGCTTAAACTGCAGTACTGCAGTCAAGCCTCTACTCATAACCCGAGTTCAATCTTGAGGGGCTCAGGTAGCTGCCTCAAGGTTGATTTAGCCTTCCATTCTTCCAAGGTAAAATGAGTACTCATCTTATTGGGGGGGTGGGGAGTGTTTCTTTTATAATTATGTTGTAAGCCCAGAGAGTGCTCCAATCACCATGGGGTGACATAGAAGTTAAAGGGAAGACCTATGCTGTTCAGTATAAAATGTCTTACCATCAAGGCTTGCTCAATACTCTCTTTGTGGCATTCTATAATTGCTTTCCCCAAGGCATTGCGCAGATCTCTGTAGCTCTTGCCATGTATCAAGAATCGATCAATCTGACTAGGCTGGTGTACCTAAGGCCACAAAATACAAAGAATGCTTTAAAAATGTATGAATATGAAATCAATTCTAAACACCGTGACTGTGAACATCAGAACGTGCCCAGCAAAGTACATGTCTTATGCTACATTTCATCTCTTAGGAAGTTCAAATTGTTTATAAAGGAAGTACAGGTCTATGGGTCATTCACTCTGAACTGTCACACATACGGCTGGAAAGTCTGGATTTCAAAGCATCCCCAATAAGATGCCAAGTTACTAATTTCGCTTTTTTTTAACTAAAGTCGCTGAGCAAAACAATGTATTTTGCCTACACAGACAAGTTTCAATTTTAGGAAAACAAATCATTTTCATTTATATACAAATTTATTCTTTCCTCTCTGTTTGGCCCTTCTGTACCAATCATGCCCCCAAAATCAGCATCTAAAATTTGCCAACAATAGAAATAGATCTGTGTTACCTGTTGTTGCTCAATTATTTCTGAAGGAAATATCCACTGATACTGTCGTTCACTGGAAAGTCTCTGGGTGAACTCCATCCCGTACTGGTTGGTAAGTTTTCGGACAAGGTAAACTCTATACCACTCATTTTGTGCCTGACAGCAGAATTGTTTCACACTTTGCAGGTACGACTGCTTCTCTTCTTCTCTGTTACCATCTGAAAAGGAAAGAAAACAAGGCCTTGGTTCCTACCAGTGCCAAAGTCTTGATATCCAGCATGTTTAGAAGCAGTGAAATACACCTACCTAAGCACCTACGCATGACTTCATGCGTGTTCTGAAATACATCTACCTTGCAAACCCTAGCATTTAAAAGAAAATAACACCGTGGCAAGACAAGGAGACAATGTAAGCACCTACGCATGACTTCATGCGTGTTTAATACCGACACGCAGGGCACGTCCATCATGTAATTGATCTATCAGCAGGAACTCACTCATACACCTGCCCTTTGGTGTATCTGCACTCCCCCAAAGTCACCACAATCGCACTTGCCTGACTTTCCCTGCAGTTCAAAGAGGAGTTCTGCAGCCCTATCCAAGCACAATCGGAGACGGGCCAATCCCTGCAGGAACTCAATGGAGGACTCTTGAGAAGTCTGTCGGCTACGCATCCTCCTCTGTGAATAACTGGTCAGGAAATGTGTATCCTCTTTCAGGTGGTTTATCTGGATTTCTTTAGCCAAAGCTCCTAATTTCTCCCACATAGAATCCTACAAGGGAGAAAAAGAGGAGGAAAGAAAAAGCATCTGTTGTCCAGTCTCAATGAAAATAAGCCATATCATATAATTAAAAGTTTCTCAAAAAATCTGTAAGGCTTGTATAGTTTCCTCCTTCACACAGAGACATGAATTTTGTGCCAAAATAAGTTGCTGGGCTAAGAATTAAGCTCGTCTATGGAAATGATTTCACTAATTAGCGAGAATTGTCCTTTTTCTGGAAAAGAAAAGAAAATCTGAAGTATTTTGGCCAAGATAGAAGGGTAGAGTCACCCATGGCTGGTGAGAGAAGAAGTGGAGATAAAGCAATAGCCAGAACCAAAACTTTGTTAGTCTAATGTCAGTCAGGTAAAAAAGGAGGAGAGGGACCTAGTGGTGGCATGGGAGGGTTGTGGCCTTTGGATCCACACTCCTCCTTTGATGCCCCTTCTTTACTGTTGTAGAAGGACTGCCACTGACAGTGCATTAATTCTCCATCCAGAATTGGGGGGCTTTCAAAAGCAGACCCCACACACCCCCTCCAGTGAGCCACACACCTCCAAAGGTTCACTCACTATCGTCATAAAGGCTAGCAATCTACTTCTCAAAACAATGAAGACAATGAATAATTTGCTGCCAGGACAGTCCCAAGTCACCAAAATGTGTGCTTTTGTATCGAGCCAGCAAAATATATAATTATATAGTGGATATATATTTTAAGCCAAGTATAGACAAAGTACAGCCCTCTAGATACTGTCAGATGGCAACTCCTGGAATTTCTCTCCGTTGGGAGTCGGGACTATGGCTGAGGGAAGGTACATAAATGAAGGAGAAAAGCCTATTCACTCTTTTCCTCCTCCCCTGCAGCAGAAGTCAACTAAGTCCTGGAATTAACTAAAATAAACCAAAGACAGCCTCTGGCCTAGTCAACTTTGTTAGAAAGCATACATGCAGGGAGCAAAGGCATGTTTACGGGATTTCTCCCATATCTCTGAAGCGTTAAAAACTAGAGACAGACTCTGATATTCCATGAAGGAGCTGAAGGGCCCAGTAGCCATGACATAAGCCATGTGGGAGGTGGTGCCACTTCTCTGAATATGTTTCCTTGTGAGAAATGTGAGACACTCCTGCCGCAAAATGATTGAAATATAATTGTAAGTAATTTGATCTCAGGTGGATCATCCCCCCTGGCCAGGTTGGCCCTCTACAATTAGAAGAGGAGGTTGGGAAAATGCTCTTACCTCAAAGCAGTTGACAAATAGTGTGTATAGTTCTATTTTATCTTCTTTTTCAAGGAGGCAAGTTTTCTCTACTTGTGATAAATACTTCTGTAGGTAGCCTTTCACATGATCAAAGCTATGGAAACAAAGACACCTGTTATTAATGAACAAACCAATGGCTTCTACTACTATTAACAGTATTTTGAAAATGAATGAAGATTTGTGGTGTCACAAAAGACCCATCTGAAATGCAGTCAAGTGTGGGAGTTAGCAATTTTTGAACTAATGTAAATATCATGAGCACATGGCCATTTCACCC